CAATATGACACATGCCTTGCCCTCTGGGAGAATGGGGATGGGAGTAGGGGAAAGATAAGTACATGGATAACTGAGATTAGGAAGGGTGGCAGAAAGTAGAGGTTACAGTCCATTTAGAAATCTGAGAGAGGTTTCAAAAGGGTTATGACCATCTGAATTGAGTCTTAGAGCCCCAAGAGGTTGACAGCTTTCAGAGATGGGAGGTAAAAGAGAGCCTGTACTTCTGGGTCTTCAAGATCACCAGAGGCCCCCCAATTCTGGGAGCCAGAAGCACTAGAGGTCTGTACTGGGGGAGACCCAGAAACCAGAGATACTGGAGGAGTTGGGCCATAAGAGTCTCACTGCCAGAGGCTGGAACCTGAGGTGTAGGGCATTTGGATATTCACAATCCTCCTTCATCTTAGTATGACAATAAAGAGCGGGTTCCCAGTGTGAGGGTTTTGGTGTTTTGTTCCCCCCCCTCATTCTGGTTTGTTAATTTCATTCACATTCCCTGTAGTAATACTAGAAAATCGATCACTAGGGAATTATTGACCTAAGCAACCCCCTCCATCGCCCTGCTTGCCTTAACCTTTTGTCCCCTAAAATCATGAGAAAGAAGGGACTGATGCCACCCTCCAAACAAGACACTCCATCTGCTGGTTCTGGGAATTTTCACTAATTGTCCCCCAAGCCTGGAAGCTTTCCCTCTGCATCTCCACCTCCTGGCTCCCCTGGCTTCCTTCAAGTCCCAGCTAAAATCCCACCTTCTATAAGGAAACCTTTCCCCATCCTTCCTAATTCTGGTGCCTCCATCTGTCGATGGTTTCCAATTTATCCTGTATGTAGCTTGATTGTTTGTAATTATTTGCATGTTGTCTTCAATGTTAGACTGTGAATTCTTCAAGAACAAGGGGCGTCTTGATATTGTTTTTTGTATCCCAATGCTATTAAAGCAAATAGAGGGTGCTTAATAAATGTTTATTGATAGACTTGAACCTCTGGGGACTAGAGGATGTACGTGCCTTTCATCTAGCTCTCTCTCCTTTGTATGGCTAGCAGACTTCCATCTCTACCTCCCCTAATCCCTATAATTCAGTGTTGTTGCCTGCCAGGGTGAAAATAACCCTTTCCTTTGCATCCACTTCCCCCTCAGTCATCACAGTCCACCTTAGCCATAATCCTCCTGATCCCTATTCTTATCTACCTTCCTTCTTCATTGTGCCCTTTGGAATTCCAATGCTGTTGTGAACAAACTTCCCTTCATCCTAGACTTCTTCCTCTAATAGGCATTTATGGAAACACCTTCTGGTACCCTCTGGAAGATTCTATGTCTTGGGTCACCCTTCTCCAATACAGGCTAACCTTTCTTTCATGTCCCTTTACTCATTGGGCTAGGAGTAGAAGTAGGCATACTCTTCCTCTTAACCTCTTTCCTCCTTTGAAGTACACTCCCCATCTATGTCACCCTGTGCAGATCTTTCCATAGTCATCTGTTTGCCTCTATGTCATTCTCTTTCCTTCCTCATACTGAAGGACTTCAGTATCCTTTTGGCCTCCCAATTTATCCATCTCCTCAGTTCCTATGATCTACATCTTTACTCCACTATGGCCACACATAGAGTTGGTCATACCTTAATTTTCATCATTACTCAGAACTACCCTCCATGACATGTAACTCTGAAATCCCTCTTTTTGATCATACCTTCTCTACTTCCATCTCTCCCTCTTCTTTGGTCTTCCTAAGCCTGTATTTATTTTTCCTCACCTTGACCTCCAATCCCTCTCTACTCCACCAGTTTTACCAGTCCATCACCCTTGCCCTGGCCTCACTATAGTGGAAAGAATTCTGCAATTGGAGTCTGGAAAGACTGGAACTCAAATCCTAACACTGACACTTTCTAATTCTGTGGTCTTGGACAAATTATTTAATTTCTGAGCCTCAATCTTCCTATCTATAAAATAGGGATAACAATACAGTAGTACTTACCTCCCAAGGCTGTTATTAGGCTCAAATGGAATGATGTAAAGTGCTTAGTGAACTTCCATTAGAAAAGAAGGATGTGGATACTAGGAGGGTTACCATAGTGGAGAAGCGGCTCCTAGGAGCTTATCTCTTATGGCCTCCTTCTTCTTTGCAATGTAGGAGGTGAGATCACGTACTGAAAGTGACTTTGTAAGAGCCCTACTTATGCTTTGATTGAAGACCTTAACTTAAAAAAGACGGGCGGGAAACAAAACTTCCCATCACCAAACTAAAAAAAACTATGCTCTTCTCATGGTTTTAAATTGGCTTAAGAATGAAATTTCTTAGACTTTCCCATCGTTCCCTGATATCATAGAATAAGTTTTACTGGAAGCCACTGAGGTACACTATTATTTTCAGGAAATTACTAAGGGCTTGCCTCCAATGATGGAGCATTAATTTAGTGTGTTCTTTCCTTAGCTTGCAACTGCCATGGTCATGCCATGGACTGTTTCTATGATCCTGATGTTGAGAGGCTTAATGGAAGTTTGAACATCCATGGTGTTTATGAAGGTGGAGGGGTCTGCATTAATTGTCAGGTAAGAGGTTATTCAAGTCACAGTTGTTTTTAATGGACTTTTAAAGGAGGTAAACACCAGTAACATTTACTCACAGAATATCCTATGAGAAGTGAGATGCATCTAGAAAAAAGATAATTCTAGCTTTCATATTGAGAGTTGCTAATAGTTGTCTTTTAAATTTCCTAAGAAAGGTAAGATATACCCTGGCAAACGAATTATTTATACCTGGATAGTTCTCTACTTTTTTTGTGTGTGTACAGAGATCTTTGCTACTTACATGCTTCCTAGATGTGCAAAATCAGGCTGAGGAATGTCCCAGGCCACATTCGCCACCATATTCATGTATTCTTGATAACAGAGGCAGCTACTTGGTGCAGTGGATAAAGCCCTGCACGTGGACGCAGGAAACCTTGAGTTCAAATTTTTGTTTTTGTTCTAGTCCTGTCTCTTTGTGACCCCATTTGGGGTTTTCTTGGAAGATACTGGAGTAGTTTGTCATTTCCTTTTCCAGCTCATTTTATAGATGAGGAAACTGAGGCAAACAGGGCTAAGTGACTTGCCCAGGGTCACACAGCCAGGAAGTGTCTGAGGCCAGATTTAAGCTCACGAAGATGAATCTTCCTGACTGCAGGGCCAACACTCTATTCACTGTGCCACCTAGCTATCCAGTCCAAATTTTGCCTTAGACATTTATTAGCTATATAGCCAGAGCAAGTCACTCAACATCTGTCTGCCTCAGTTTCCTTATCTCTTAAGCAGAGATAATAACACCTACCTCCTAGGGATGTTGTATTGAATGAAATAATATTTGTAAAGCACCTAGCACAATGCCTAGCACACAATAGGCACTTAATATTTGTTAAAATTAAAAATTTGAAAATGAACAGATCACAATGTGAAAGGTCTTTACTATGGTTGCCACAGGGCTTTTTTTTGGGGGGGGGGTCAGGTTTAGAATTTTCTATATGACTTAGAAGAAGACTTCACAGGATCTGTCAAGGACAACAGAGCTGACTTGGGAACAATAGGATCCAAAAATATCTCAACAAGCTAGGACAATAGCAGTGAATCTTTTAAGATGAAATTTAATAGGGATAAGTGTAAAGTCCTCTGCATGCACAAGTAATGGATGAAGGAGATAGACATTAAAAGCTCAAAGGCTTAGAACCTTCAGTAAGCTTGACATGAGATAGCAGTGAGTCATGGCTGCTAAAAACAAAACAAAAAACTTTAATAGAATCTTAAGTCTTTATTAACAAAAATACAATATCCAGATGAATGGAGATAACCATCTACAGGACTCTTCACCAGTAGGACTAACATGTTGGTTTCTTAGTGCTCCATTTTAAGAGGGGCATTTAGAAACTAGGATGGGTCCAGAAGGGGGCAAATAAGATGGCAGGTAGATTATATTGAAGCAACTAGAGATTTTTAGCCTAGATATTGAAGACTTAGGGAGAATATAATAGCTGTGTTTAAATACATAAAATTCTATTTTATGATAGGGGAATTGCATTTCTTTTTTGTAATTCTAGAGGACAGAATTAGGACCAAGGAGTAGAAGCAGATTTTTAGATTGGTATAAGAATTTTGCTCCCCAGCAACAGAATAAGCTTGCCCTGTGAATTAAAGAGCTCCTGATCACTGTATATGTTCAGAAGCGAGAGCTGGAGAACTAAACCTTTTTTTTACCCCCAGATATTTTGAGGTGGAAATTCCTGTGTAGTCCACAGACATGCCCTCACTCTGAGCCCCGAGTTCTAGGTCCCAGGTATTTTGTGGGTCAGAATTCTCTCCAAATTACAGCTAATAAGCCCCTATTGATATGTTTTACCTTTATCAATGAACTATAGAACACAAAGCAAGTAACAAAGGTTTTTAATTAAGTAACAATGTAAGTAAAGAACAGAACATTTTCCTCATAAACTTTGAGCTCAGTCTCCTATGAACATTATGTACTCATTGATGAGAGGGAGACCTTCATAAGAAGTATGTGTGGCTTATCAACACATGGGGGGAGGTGCCTGTGCAGGTCACGTGTATGGAGGAACAGCTCACACCTCTGCAGCTGTCTTTTACTGACATCACAATGGCCTTGCTTTCTACCAAATGTCGGATTTCACTGGTCCCCGCGTGATGCTCTGTCTCGGCTGATTTCTGTCGTTTGTATCTCTAGTCCAGATGAGTTGTTAACCAGCTTCTTCACCTGTCACATCCACTGGGGGATGTTGTGGTTAAAAAGCCTCTCTCTTGAGAAGCCCAATGAAAGGAAAGGTGTAGCTTCTTTAACCTACTCTCCATTTCCCCACCTCCAGTAAAATACTTGCAAAGTACATGGGCATATACATAACATTTTGGGCACATATCATTTATAGCATAATAAACATCATAAATAAGATATTTATATGCAATTATTATAACTGTTCTATACAGTCCCATAAGGGTGTAAAGTAAATAATAAGCACTTCTAAACCAAATACATACCAGTGTATACATTTAAAACAAAATATTAATTCCTTGTAATATATAACACAGCATATATAACACAATAATGTAACTGTAACACTGCAATTAGCAGTATAAAATGTGTATGTTATATGTCAATGAAGCATAACAATATAACAAAACATTAACAATATGGAATATACTATCTAGATTACATTTGCATATGTAACATGTTATAGACACTCAGAGAAGGGGTATATGATGTATTAATGTTATCCTCTGATGACATAAATATCCGCTTTCTTCCATTTTCTCTGGTAGCTAACTAAACTTGTTCACTGGGTGAATGTCATGGGCAGCACCCACTACTTCTTATATGGGATCCAGTGTATTATACAGCTGTACTAATGGTACGATATTACACTGCACCGTGACAACTTCTTTCATTCTCTCAACAGCAAGGTGACCCTCCTGGGGACAAAATTTGAGTCCTTGAGACTCTCCAAATTCTTCACGTATTTGTTTCTGTTGCTTGTCATGCTGGGACCACCAAAGCAAGGCAGATTACAACAAAGTTCATCTCTCCTGATGGCACACTCTTTTGTGGAAGATTCCCAGGCATGGCAGGCAATGAGTTCTGCCTTAAGGTCTTCGGGATCTAGGGTCACTTCTATCTCCAGATCCATCATCTTTATGTACAGAAGGCAGTCTGGTGGACATCAGCTTCTGTTTAACCAATTCTATATTTGCTCTTTGGGTACATCCTGTATTTGTGTGTCCATCTAGGCCACAGTTGCAGCAGAATATCCCTGGGCCCCTCTGTCTTTGCTCTACTGGCCATGTTCTAGCTTCAGGCCTGTTTGATCTCTGCCCGCACAATCTTTTGTCTTTTTTCTGGGAGAGGTGGTACCGAGCAGTATTCCACTTCTCAATGGGCATCTTATGAGTTTCGGCCTTTGTGCCTGGGTGACTATGGTTCGGTTCCATTCTCGTTTCCAGAGGCGATATCTGAGAGGATGTTTTGGAAAGCATTCTTCTGTGTTGCGGAGTTCTGTCTCCACAATCAAGTCTGTTCTCATACAATTTCACTATAGCCATTAGCTCTTCATATCCAATCCGCTGTTTCTCTTTTTCCAATTTAACTATTTGTGCTTGTAGGTCTTTATTATCTAACAGTCCAGAACTTACTTGGGCCAGTCTAACAGTATTCACTTCACTGGGCCTTACCGCTCCTTTGGCAACTAAATTCTGCAGCAGTTTGTCCACTCTCATGACAAACTCAGAGGGTTTCTCTCCCTCATGCTGAAAGGTGGTAAGAAGCTGGACATAGGTTTGCTGTGGAGTTTCTGCACCACCGTATTGTTTATCTAGCTTTTGCAGACATTCTAACACAGTAGCATCAGGGGTCTGTAATTTCAAAATACGTATAAGATCAAATGCTCGTCCCTTGAGACTTTCCATTAGTCTTTTCTGTTTTTCCATATCATTCACTTTCCATTGCTTCAATATTTCAGTGGCATGTTTTATCCAAGAGTCATACAGTTCCTCTTCAGGAGGACATGGATTTTCCCCAGAGAAGCTTCCTAATTTGTCAAATTGAGATTCTTGCTTGAGCTCGGACTCATCTTGCTCACTCTCTCTGGGTCTGGACTCCCCTCCTACATGTCTCACATCATCTTCAGACAGTCCTTCCCTTTGCAGGACAGTCTTGACCTTCCTTTCTATCTCTTCTTCCTCAGCAGGGGGTCTAATGACTAGTTTCCAGGTATTCTCTCCTACAGTAATTGCACTAGGGATTTTAGAATAGCCTATGGGTTCAGACAACTTACAGAAAACAGATAAGGTGAGGTCTGTCCCTTCATGTCGTTTGGTCAGTACTTGACATTTTCCCAAAATACTTATTGCATTATATAAGACATTTTCAATGTCCTTATCTGTTAGGTCATGAGGTACTCCTTTAACAAGTAATCCTCTGTGTAAATCCAGGTGCATAGCTATACACCACTTTTCTAAAGTTTTGTCATCCATAACTTTTTCCCTCCTTTTTAAGACACAACTCAATCACTATAGGAATAAACTATTTGTCAGTGGCACCTCAACTTACTGTATAACAACTCAGTAGTTATTGAAAGGTTTGACCTGTTTAAAAAGAAAAGAGAAAGAAATATTGGAAAACCTTGGTGACTAATCACAGCCTGAAAAAAAAATTCCCCAATGGATCCCCACAATACATAGGGAGTTCAAAATGGAGATCCCAGATGATGATTTCTTCAATGGATTTCAGGGCGTCCCAATTAGAGATCTGAGAGGAGCCCTTACAGTATAGTTCACAGGGCCCCCTTCTCCCCCTGGAGTCCTAGTTAGCTGCACCAGGTTCTGGTAGTTTGAGGATCATGGTCCTCTCCAAACCATAGCTCATAAACCTTCACTGATGTGTTTTACTTTTACTAGTCAGTCATGGGAAATGGTTTAAAAGAAAGTTATTTTAATCAAATTGCAATGAAAATTATCTAATGTAGAGAACATCTGCTCACAAGCCTTGAGCTATAACTACATATACAATGGAGAAAATGGACCCTCATAGGAAGTATGTGTGTGGCTACCACACACGTGGACATAGGTGGCCAAGGCACCAATATAAAGGAATGTTCTCACAGGAAGCATATGTGTCTCAGGCACATAAATAGAGGGACAACTCACGTCTCTGATGCTGCAGTTAAAAGTTTTCATCAGCTGCTGCTATCTGTGATTGATGCCACTATGTCGCCACTATGCCAATATCGCTGTCTGTTGTATCTCAGCTGTCCCCTGCCAGACACTGAGTCTCAGCTATTCTTCTACCACGTGCTGTATCTCAGCCACTCCTGGTTGGGCTTCTTCCACTGTTACTCCAACAGATATGAAATATCTTTATTCCAGCTGATCTGTCAATCAGCTACCCAACCGCTTCCACAGTTTGGTGGGGTTGGGGTGGGGCATGGGCTCTGTGTGCTCACGTCTGATGCCTCAGCTATGGGGATAGCTTCAGTGCTAACTAAAAGTCAGTCTTCTAGAGATGCTGTGATCAGATTAGGCTTTTTCTAAAGACTCCTTCTGCCTTCAGCCAGCACTCTCAGCCAATCGCTATGAAACTTCCCACAGCCTTCACAGTCAGCTCTCTCAAACCAATGGTTAAGAAATTCATCAGTGCCATGTTGTACCAGAAGGTACAGTGGCAAAGGCAGAGACTAAGGGTCAGCTATACCCTTTGAACTCTGCTTAGAACTCTTCTGTTAACTGCTTCTCTTCTTCTGAACTCTTCAAGTAACTGCTAAACACTTCTCTGAAATGCCTTAACCTTGGTCTTATGTCCTTCAGTTCAACTGTCACCTAACTCATGGGCAGAAACCCATGTAGTCCTTAGGTCTTCTCATATTCTCTGAGGTAAATTTTTCTAAGGGCTAAAAGAGAAAAGAGATTGAGTCACTCTGAGTTAAAAAAACATTTTGAACCTCACCCTCTCTGTTCAAATGCAAATTGTAACCACCCCTACCAACTGGAAAGATCTGAGAGGCTATAGACCTTTGGCCTCTTCCCCTGCCAACCACACAAGTCAGTCTGCTTGCTCCCAAGTCTCCCTACAACTGTCTGACATTTTGAAGAGGGAATGCGCTCATTCCTACAAAGGTTTAATTGTATTGTGTGTGTGTTTAATGTCAGAAGAGAGATGATGGTAGTTAGATAATTTATACTGTTTATGTGTTTCTATTAGTGGAAGACTTGGAGTCAGAAAGACCCAGAGTACAAATCTATCAAAATTTTGTTAAAATTCATAAAAGAATTGAATCATATTTCTTATAAGCAATATTTTTAGGAAATAATTATATTGTCTTATATAATGCATGTTAATTCATTGAGTTTGGAGGGTTTTTTTTTAAAGGAGTGGGGTCATCATTGAATTACCAGTCAGGACAGTGGGGTCCTAGAGAAGGAATTTTATTAGTGAAAGTCCTCTGGGACATCATGTCTGGCCCAGACCTTAGGGCAGCTGGTGAGAAGATGGCCAGGGAGTGAAACTTCACTCCTAACTGGAGCTGAGCTTAAATATAGTTGGAAACTGGGAAAATCACCAGTCTGGACGATGGAGGTTACAGGATAGTAGTTCTAGCCTTCAAAGGGTTAAGTCCTTTGGGTCATAGTGGGACCTTAAATGCTCTATGTGGGAATTGACAAAATGTTAATAAGAATGAGTTAGTTATGGGGCATATAAAATCTAGAATTCATACGCCAGAGAACGAAAGGTAGGGAAACGAGCCCAATATGGTTTTGTCTGGCCAAGATTATAGATGTTTTGAGCCAGCCTCATGCAGTTGAATCACACATGCATGGCCAGTGCTTTCACAAAATAAAGTATACCAAAATTATCACTTGTCCTGAGTAAGTCACGTAACACTATAGCAGTGTAGCATTAAACCCAAAGATCCCAACTACTTGGGTAAAAAGGGAAGAGTATTTGAAAAAAAATTATTGGGAAAACTGGAAAAGTCTGATTAAAATTAAATTTAAACTAACAGTTCACATCACTCACTACAATAAACTGCAATGGGACCTAGGACCTAGATTTTTTAAAAAATTCACGTTACAAACAAATTTGAAGTAATAGATACTTCTTACAACTATTGATAGAGAACAAGTTCTTGAGCAAACACAGGGCAAAGGGGACCCCAGGAGAGAAGACAAACCATTTTAATCACAAAAAAGTAAAATCATTTTGCTCAGGTGAAATAATTTTAGTTAAAATTAAAAAGAAATTTTGGGATGGGAGTAGGGGGAGAATAATCTTCACAGCAAGCTTCTCTGATTAAGTCTGATATCCAAGATATATAGGGAATTGATTTAAATATATAAGAACATGAGCCTAGTAGTTCTCAATGAAGAATTTTAAGCTAAGCCACAGCTATATGAAAAAATGCCCCAAATCATTGATAGTAAGAGAAATGTAAATTAAAACAACTTTGAGGGTCTATATCATACCAATTTGATTGGATGACCCAAAAAGGAAACAATATTTGGTGGAGAGCATGTGGGAGAACAAGCATGCCAACGAACTGTTTGGCAGAGTTATGAATTGGTCTAGTCATTCTGGAAAACACTTTGGAATTATACCCAAAAAAGTCACTCTGTTGTGCATAACCTTTGACTCAGCGATAGGGCTACTGTAAATACATCCCAAAGAGAGCAAACAAAGGGGAAAAGGACCCATATGCATAAGTACTGTAGCCAAGACCTGGAAACTAAAATTCCCTAATTCGTTAATTAGGGAATGAATGAATGAATTATTAGAAGGAAATAAGTGCCTACTATGTGCCAGGCACTATACTGAAGACTTTATAAATATCATCTCATTTGAGCCTCGTGGCAACTCTGTGAGGTAGGTGCTATTATCCTCATTTTACAGTTAAAGAAATTGAGGCATTCAGAGGTTAAGTGACATGCTGGAGTGTGTGTGTGTGTGTGTGTGTGTGTGTGTGTGTGTGTGTGTGTGTGTGTGTGTGACACAGCTAGGAAATGTCTGAGGCTGGATTTGAACTCAGGTCTTCCTGATTCCAGCCCCAGTGCTCTATCTACTAGACCACCCAGCTGCCCCTAAATTACAGTATGTGAAGATAATGGAATATTAGTGTACTATAAGAAATGATGAAAGGGTTAGATTCAGAGAAACCTAAGAAGAATCACATGAACTAAAGCAGATTATAATGGGTGGAATCATGACAAGTGGGAGTGAGCAGGGCAGGATTGTTAAAAAAAAACGCCAAAAAAAAAGAAGAAAAGAAAGAAAAGAGTGTCATCATCATTTTAAAAAGATGAACAGAAAAGAACAAAAGGACATTCAGGAAACACAAATAGGACAGCTTTGAATCATATTCTTAGTAAATAGGCATTTATGAAGTGCTTACTATGTGCCAAGCACTGAGGATACAAATAAGGGTGGGTGGGGAGCCAGTCCCTGCTCTGATGGAGCTCAGATTTTAATGGGAGAGACATCAAATAAATAACTAGGTATTAATCTCAGAAGAGGAAGAGGATACCCTGTACTGCTTTTGTGAGTATTTTTTTCCTGTCTTTGATTTCTCTTTTCCACATGAAGTTACTGATATCTTGTTGGGGCAAGTTGTATTTTTCCCCTTCTGTCAAACTTTAAAATAGGTATTCTGAAGTTTGACCTTTATTTAGCAAAAGTATCTCTAATGCCACATTCATCATGAAACAGCCCCAAGGAAAGAGGGCAAAAGGTATAGCACTTCCAGAAGAAAGGACCGTTTCTTGATCTTTCTTCCTTTAATAAAACTGTAGCAAACCCTGCTTAAGACTGAAGTATCCCCACTTTGTTTTGATTCTTGTGGATTGTTTTTCTCGCATATTTAAAATGCAGACTTGGGCCCCTTTCCTGAGGGAGAGAATATCTGAGTCAAGTTTTTGCTCTGCTCCATGGATTTCCTTCTCTTTCAGTGCACTGATTTCCTTGGCTTTCCAGATGTTTTACATCAAAGATTAAGAGCTGGAGATGTCCCTTCTTTGTTCTGACCATTTTCTGGATTCTAGGGACAGGTTCTTTTCTAAGTCACCACACCCTTGAACTTCATCACTGTGAGGTCTAAGCAGGAATAGTGCTTTTGATAAAGTCATCCTACCAAGAGGAGATACTTTGATCTGAAAGGCATCTCACTATCATGTAGGACTGTTGTTACCAGTACGCTATGCCTGTGGGCTGACAATTTGCCAGTACGTACCAGCATTAATCAAAAAAGCCCTACCCATCAGCCACAGCCAAAGATTCTTATCGGAGAAGCAGGGATGAAAGCTGTTGTTGATTTCAAGTACCTTGATGTAGTACAAAGAACACTGAAAGCAGACTTGGATGGTTTGGGTTTGGGTCTGGGTTTAGGCTCAGACCATATTTGGAATTAGAAGATCTGAGTTTGCATCTCAGTATTATCTGTGTGACCTTGGGCAAACCTCTTTGGGCCTCAATTTCTTCATGTTCAGGATTGGAAGGACTGAATCTAGTTCACCACCCTAAAATCCTATGAACTGATTAGGTGTATGACTGTAGGCAAGTCACCAAATTTCTCTGACACTTAGCTTCCTCTTCTCTGAAATGAGGAAAATCGTTTTTGCACTACCACCAGCCTCCTGGGGTTGTTATGAAGAAATCACTTTGTAAATTGTAAAAGTACATTTATGTGAGTTAGTAGTAGTAGTAGTAGTAACAGTAGTAGTAGTAGTAGTAGTAGTAGTAGTAGTAGTAGTAGTAGTAGTATTTCATGAGATAGGAAATAAAGAAGTTGGAAAATATCTCAGGAAGACCACATGTTCTTTTAGGTGCCATGACCATTTACAGCTTAATTTTGGGTAAATTTATGGAAATTATACTTTTTACAGACAAGACACCTAGCTTCCTCAACAATTTGTTGTTTAAGTGTTTATCTGCTTATCGAACACTCTCCCCATTCCCCCCCTCTCTTCCAATATCCTTAAATAACCAGACTCTATCTAGCCTAGTGCTTCTCCTCTCCATTAATAGATCATGGCTAGTGACCCAGAAACACTATGAATACAAAAACAAATATAGAAATAGGTGGGAGCAAGTGAGCAAAATAGTGTGGAATATGATTATTGCACAATAGTCTATTTCTTCAGAAAGAGGAAGGATTTTCTTAGGTACCTCATGAGGAAAAGTATTGAGGAGAGAGAGGTAGAAGGAGCAGCTAATGGCCTTGAAAATTGCCAGTGTTCTCCAACTGGTTGGCACTTTAATAGCTAAAAGAAGGCAGGGAGTTTATGAGTAGCACTTGATAGGAGCAATGCAAACAGGTATGGAAACAGGTGGGGCAAATTCTGGGCAAGGTATGGAAGGGGTATTAGCTCATCTAGACATCTTAAAAAAATTCACATTGTGGGAACTGTTTCTGTAGTTATCTCTACCTGGAGTATATGTGCTAAGATTGTGCTTTTGCCTAAGGAAATGACCAATTAATTATATATGCTGCAAGTACTAGCTGATTTCTCTGATAGAGGACAAGATAAGAGGGCTTAGGAAATACCTCTTGTGCTAGGATATGTTAAACATTTCTCCTTACAGAAAAAGGAAAATAAAGATTAAATTAGTGGTTAATAATAGTTGAAATTTAGTAGGAAAGTTTATTTAGCTTCATTCTTCCTCTATGTGTATCCTGACCCAAGTTTCTTTTTCAATATATTTTCATTTATTTCATTAAATATTTCCTAAATTTT